CTTATTTTTATCCGCCGCGGCATCTCCATGTTGGCCACAGCTTCTCTTTATCGGCCGTGGCATCTTCGTGTTGGCCACAGCTTCTCCTAGTCAGCTGCGGCATCTTCTAGTCAGCCGCGGCGTTTCTTAGTCGGCCGCGGCATCCCTTTGTTGGCCACAGCTTCTTTTTATCCGCCGCGGCATCTTCGTGTTGGCCACAGCTTATCTTTGTCAGCCGCAGCATCTCCTTGTCAGCCGCGGCGTTTCTTAGTCGGCCGCGGCATCCCTTTGTTGGACACAGCTTATTTTTATCCGCCGCGGCATCTCCGTGTTGGCCACAGCTTCTCTTTATCGGCCGTGGCATCTCCGTGTTGGCCACAGCTTATCTTTGTCAGCCGCAGCATCTCCTTGTCAGCCACGGCGTTTCCTAGTCGGCCGCGGCATCTCCTTGTTGGTCACAGCTTCTCCTAGTCACCTGCGGCATATTCTAGTCGACCGCGGTGTCATGTGGCCTGCCGYGACTTCTCGTTGGTCGTGACAGTGTTTTGTCAACCACGTCATCATCTTTGTATGTTCATTTTGAAGTTAAGTTAATTAATTGTTTCCATTTTTATAACCTTAACAWTTATTGTTAAATTAAATTAAATTGGAAAACTGAGAGTTTCTTTTAATCAACTATATTATAGCTAATTTTATATTAAAATGTTTTCTTTTATTTCTGTTATTTTTCACCATGGTCGTCAGGTGTAGCTAGTCATAAAACATAGTATTACATAGTAATACATAGTGTTACCTATAACAGCTGTGATTTTTATAATAATAATAGTAATAACAAGTTTACTGTAACATCAACAATTTTTAAACACAATAATGAATTAATAATAGTATAAATGTTATATTATTTAATTAATACGTGTATAATAATTATTATTCAACCAGAAATATGCGATCAAGATATTTGTGACGACACGTCATTTGAAGGGAATCAATACTGTTTAAAAATTTAAAACAATGTTTCACGTAAGTATTGATTGAACT